TTGATTTCATTTTATCAAAAGCCAAAAATAGTTAAGAGATGTGATTTGTCTGGTTGCGAGAAACTGATGTAACTGGAAATGATCAGGACAAACTGATTAAATGATCCTTGATATAAGGGTGAGTCCATTTTTCTTGTGAACCCCAATGCTTTATTTTTCTCTCCTCTTAGATAGGTAGACTTGTTTAGCCTCATGTTTGTTCCCATTGATGATGCTTATACGAGTAGCATTCATAAAAGATCTCCATAAGATCAAGTAATAAAAAGACTGGTTGGGAAAGGGATATGATCTTGTTTAATTTCTGAGAAATTAGGTAATTGGAAACAAAAGCTAGAGTAATTGCAATCTCGTTTCATTTTCCACTTTTGTGCCTTTCATAGTGACCACCAGGACTCATATCTGTGTAAACCATATATATAGGACTTCTAATGCTATACCCTTGTGGTTTAATTTTCATTTACGTTTGAGAATTGTAGATTTTCTCTTAGTGAAATTTCATGGACATCCCCTACTATTATAAATCCTTTCTTATTGCTAATAATTTTTTTTTTCATTTTTCTTTCTATTAAAAAAATTCATGGACAAAATTTTGGCTTCTCTTACCCAAGTATTAACCTCTTTTGTCCTACATGATCTGTCATTTTTCTTTGTTCTTATTATCGTTGTTCACTTTGCCTGTAAATACCATATATTGGTTTTGGTGCTTTTTTCACTATATTCATCTCCAGGTTATCAGGGAACTTCTAGTAGCTAGCAGGAAGAATTCTTGGGCAGAAGTTGTTCATTGCAAGCTGGTTTGCATGCTGACAAACATGTTTTACGAAGTCCCAGATGAAACTGCCAAAGCTGCTTCAAGTAGCTCACTTTTTCTTATAGACCAGGTTGATCTGATTGGCGGAGTTGACTTTATTTTCCTTGAGGTAATGCAAGTTAATTAAATCATGGTAGAGATTAGAATAAGAATTAAATTATTCTAATTTTCAGAATTTTCTTCACAGTAAGGAAGTAGACATAAAAGAACTCTTATTTATCATCCTTTCCTTTTAGATCATCATTTCATGGTCTTAAACAATATCATCTGAAGTTTAAGAAAAGAATAAAATCATATGGACAGTTTGCACGAAAACACCCAAATTAACACTAATCTATTTTCTCTGTGCATGTACATATCTCAAGGGCCAATGTAAGGGAAGCATAATAAGAGACAAAGAAATAAACATGGAATACAAGCTTAACCTCCTTCAATAATTTTTTTCTAATTGACCATAATGCTTAGAAATAATTATATGTTATAATAAAGAACATTTACTTCATTTTTAACAAGGAGTGTGTATAATTAATCTGTGACATGAATTATCAAGCCCTTAAAACAATTATTATGGGAGATTGATGACAATAAGACTGAGAATATATGTCTATTATTTTTTTAACAAATATGTTCTTATTCTGTCTTTGGACCTTGATGGTTAATGTGTGTAGTTTGTCGATCAGATTTATAATTTTCCTTGATGTAATTTCCTACGTTCTTAATTGAGGATCTAGCATAATGAATTTTCAGAATGTTTGAACTGCTATATTTACATACATACCACAGAATATGAGTAATGCAGAGTAGGAACGTCTTACAATGGACATGTTTTAATACCATAAGATATTTATTTAATTATTATCTTTGTATATTATTTTGGTTACTTAGCATTATTCTAGGCTTATTATTTAGGACTTGTATTTCTTATTTAGTTATAAGTCTTATTGTGTAATATAATTCGGATTCAAGCAATTAGAGACTCCTTGAGTCCAGAACTAATATTTATTGCTTTGCTGCACAAGCACCTTATAAATTCATGACAACCACCTTATAAATACATGTGTGATTCATTATTATTTGGCAGATTGCTTATAAATAAAAAATTATTGATTTCATCTCATTTATTAAGGGCCTAACAATCTTGTAATTATGATTGCGACAACCTTGTAAGTTTGGTTCTTGCTAATTCCTGTGGTTGTGGACCAGGTTTATTTTATTTTTATACTTTTTTATTTTCCTATCTTTCCAATTTCACTATGCTAAACCAGTGATTTCATGGAATTTCCGTCTTATATGCATATTTGCTCTGGGGGTGGATCTAAATCCATTTAAAAATGACCTTATGGTCTATATTTGGTGCTTTTTAACAATGCAGTATTCCCTAGCAACATCAAGAGAAGAAAGAAGAAACATGTATTTGGTGCTTTTTGACTATGTTTTGCATCAAATAAATGAAACATGCATAGCTGCCGGCGTTTCTGAATATAGTGATGATGAGATTCAACCTCTTGCTGTTCTGCTTGCCCTTGCTGATGCACCTGAAGCTTTTTACATTTCTGTTAAGCTTGGGGTTGAAGGCATTGGAGAACTCTTGCGAAGATCAATTTTAACAGCATTGTCTAGGTTTCCTAACAGTGAACGGCTAAAGATGGTAGGGTCTGAAATCTCATATCATATGTTGTCTCTCGCTCTCTCTCTCTCTGCCTGTTATGTTTTTGCATGCCACTATGTGTTGGCACGTAAGTGCTTCTGGTGCTTCCATATTCACTGCATTATGATTATATATTGTAGTCATAAGAAGTAAATGTATATCCCAAATCTGGATATTCATATTGTAGAGGCTCTAATATTTGTCAGTGAACATATAATTGGGGCAGACTGAAATCTGAAACAGAGGTTCATGTAGGCATCCAAATCTTGGTCCAAATATATAGTTTATCATGAGATGCTAAAATCTGAAGAGAATGACTGGGCGTGAGATTTGCCAAATTGTTGCCTTCCTTGTATTTTGGTCAAGGTGTTCCAGTGTATGTTTTAATATATTCTACTTATGTTTCCAACTATATCCTTCTCTTGGAAGTTTAGTCCTTTTTTGGGAGGGAGGATAGTATTGGGGATAGGCAAAGAGAGAGACCTTTCTTCCAGCTCTGTCACCTACCTTTTCATCTTGTTGCTTTACGATTAAATATATCATTTAACAATTTGGTCTAATTCTTTATAGGTAATTGGTTTTTAAATTAATTCTGATATTTTGATCATTTTATTTGCAGCTTTTGGAGAATATAACAGAGAAATTTGATGCAATAATAAGTTCATTTACACATTTGGACAAAGAGTTCTTGCATCTGAAACAGATAACAAAATCCTACAAGTCCATAGAGAATGTTCAAGTTTTGAGAAATGATGTTAGCATGCAAACGAAGCTAGCATGGGCGACTTTACATTCCCTTTCTTCATTCCGAAAGAATCACTTACCGTCAAAATGGGTATATCTGGTTGGGTGACCTACTTATCGCTGAGATTAGTGAACAACGGGATGCAAGTGTATGGTCAAATATAAAAAATCTGCAGCTTAAAATTGCCAATGCTGGGGTGGTTGATTTATCAGTTGCTTCAGATGTGCCTCTGTCTCTTTGGCTTCTGTGTGGGCTTTTAAAATCAAAGAGTAACCAGATCAGATGGGGTTTTCTATTCATTCTGGAGAGGCTTCTCATGCAATGTAAATTTTTATTAGATGAGAATGAAACCCAACAGTCGAGCAGTGATCTTGGCCATGAACATGTAGATAGACGGCTTGAAAAAGCAAATGCACTGATAGATATTATGAGCAGTGCTTTGTCTTTGGTGGCTCAAATAAACGAAACAAATCGTATCAATATTTTAAAGGTATGTTGTTCAAGGATTTGTTCCATATCATTCTAAACCTAAGTGATAAAACTTGAAAGATCTGATCAATGTTTGAGAATGAAGATTTATCATGATGGAAACATGTTAAAGCTTAGGTCCTACACCACCATTCTCTGGATCCATTTGGAGTATATCTTTCTTTATTTGCTATATTATATTCACTGAAAATATTAAATGCATGATAAATTGCAAAATAGAAATATATCTGTTTATAAGCATTGGACAGACTTGTAACAGGTTTTACCATCTTATATTCTTTGGTCGTTCCAAACAGATGTGTGACATCCTATTATCTCAATTATGCCTAAAAGTCTCCCCTGCAAGTGGTAATAATACATTTAATGTTCCTGAGCGTGCCTCACGACAAAATGGCTCTCGCTGGAAAGATTTCATTGAGGAGAGTGATAACAGATCTAGTTCCAGCATTAGTAATTGTTTAACATGTGAGACAGCATCAGTGGCGGCATTGCTTCTCCGTGGACAGGCCATTGTTCCTATGCAGTTGGTTGCACGTGTTCCTGCTGCTTTATTTTATTGGCCATTGATTCAACTTGCTGGTGCTGCAACTGACAATATTGCACTGGGCGTTGCTGTTGGAAGCAAAGGAAAAGGAAACCTTCCTGGTGCAACTTCAGACATTCGAGCTACCCTTTTATTACTTCTAATTGGTAAATGCACTGCAGATCCTACTGCATTCCTTGAAGTCGGTGGAGAAGAGTTCTTTAGGTGATTCCATATCCTCTTGCTTCTTAGTGGACCTCCAACTTGTTATCCTTATGATGGGCGTGCCAAACATCAATGTGAATTCTTTTTTTTTTTTTGGCAGGGAACTTTTAGATGATACAGATTCAAGAGTGGCTTATTATTCTTCTGCTTTTCTTCTAAAGGCAAGGAGCCTTCTTTCCCTCAAAATCTTTTATATGACCTTGTGTTTGTTCTGTGTGAACATTCTTAATTGTTTGCTTAGTCATTGAAGCCCGTGTTTTACAGAGAATGATGACAGAGAAGCCAGAGAAGTACCAAAGCATGCTACAGAGGCTTGTTTTCAAAGCTCAACAGGTACCAGCCCAAGACTTTTAGTATGTTTGAAGTTGCACAATTACAAAAACGGAACCACCACATCAGAACAATTGCTAATCAATAAAATGTATACTCTGGTGCATTTTTTTAAATAAAAAGAAATGCTAAATTCTTATGCACTATAATTAAGGTTAGTGAATATCATTTTTTAAGATTAGAAAGAAAAAGTAAGATTAAGCAAAGGAAGAAATAGAAAAACAATTCGATATTAAAATGAGAGGCAAATAAGAAAATTAGAAAGGAAGAAATAGAAAACTAGAAACAAAAGGGAGATGTTATAAAAAATAAAATAGAAAATGTGAAGTGAAGAAAAACTGAAAATAAAACTTAAAGAGGGGACAAAGAGAACTCTAAACTGGAATAGCAACATTTTTTTTAGATAAATGGAGTAGCGAGAAATTAAAGAAATTAAAAATTATAAAGGATAAGTAGAACAGATTAAGAAGGGAAAAAAACCCGAAAAGAAAACACAACCTTCCTTTTCCTATATGATCCCACATACCTCACATTTATGAGAGTATAAAAGTGTTTGCTCAGTCTCGTGGAAGCTGCTTCATTTCAGAATTAATTGGTAACATAAATGTGCACATTATTGATAAATATGCGGGGAAATAGCAACTTGACTTTAAATGAATTTCTGCTTTTGGCATTCCCAGTGGAACGAAATATATGATATAGGACATGGAGGCATATTTTCTCTTCATGAGCAATAGCAAACTGCTCTTGTTAAGAATTAAGTTTTTGATGGTTGGAAATTTTTATCACCTTAACCGCCATTATAAATATTTCCTCTATTCTATTATGAATCTATGTTGTTGCAACTCTGTGGCATGCCTCTTTCCTAAAAAGTTCATCAGACTTACAAGTATTTTATCTTTATGAGGACTAATAGCCCATCACTTTCAAAGTTTCATCAGAAAAAAGAGTTACTTTTTCACTGAAATGTTTGCTTCATGATCCTGCTGTGCAGAGTAACAATGAAAAGTTGTTGGAGAATCCTTACCTTCAGATGCGTGGCATACTTCACTTGTCTAATGATCTTACAAATTGGGTGGAGATATGATGACTCTGTTTCTAACTTCAGCCACCGGGGACACTGCAATTCTCAGAACCCGAAGTTCATCTTTATTGATGCTTGATCAAATTTCAGGAATATGTTCTTGGAATACACTTGATTTCGTGCTTGCAAAATATTGTTTGGGATCTGATTAATGAAGTTAGCTCAGTGTGGCAAAAGTCTGGGTTTGTTAGCTCCCTCCCTCGCCCAGAAAAAGGAAAAAATGGAATGAAAATTGAGAGACTGTAGATATAAGAGAAAGAAACTGGATTTTGCTGCCTATTTCTTTATGCACTATGCTCCTAGATCAGCCAACAATGCCACCCAATTATTGCACCGGAGGTACTAAGAAAGGTCATATTTTATATCATTTTCTGTATCTTCTTTGACAAATTAAACATGTATCTGTATCTCCCTTCAGGGTTTTCAAGTTTTGCCTTCATCTGAAGGTTGTTATCTGGAAGCGAGTAAATTAGAAGTTAGAGATAGAGTGCAAGATGGCAAGGAAAAATCTTTTGGAGCTACTGAGTGATTATTAATTCATCTACTTTTTCCTTCTACTGCCAAACGGTGCAACTTAAGGCAGGGGAGCATATCTTCAGGTATTGGAACATATTTTCAGTTGCAATTGGTTAACGCTACTTGTTTTTTGTTTCATTGTCAGTTGTTATTAGTACTGATTGTATGTTCTGAACCTTTTGCACCTTTTTTCATGCATAAGTTAGATTGTTCATCTTTCCTCAACCCTTAGTTAAAAGGGCTTTTGCCCCATTTGAAAAATTAATGCTCTCAAGATTTATGGTATTGGGTTTTTTTCTTGGTTATTAGTATAATATTTTTTGGTAGAAAGGAGGCCATGATTCCTGAAGATTAATTTTGTTACTATATTATATTTAGTTGCTAAAATACTTTTTCTTTGCTTTTTTCCCCAGCAATTATTGGCGTCATGGTGTGCATTACATTCATCCAACATTTCTGGGCTTACTATATGAGAGAATCCTTTGTATAGTATTGGACTTCCTCTTGGCCGTTCTTTGTGTTTTGGTATTCATTAGGGCAAAGTTATTACTGGCTACTTTTTTACAGCCATCCTTTACAGTAATAAAAACCTCTAGTTTTTAGCTAAGTAGAGGTTCATTGCCGTGGTAGCAGCTGGATCCTGTTCTTTTAGTGGATAGGACCTAAAGGCCATAAAAGATTGGATTGGGTCACAAGGCTCTCCAATTCCACCGATAAAGATATCAAATCCTTTCCAGGGGAAGCTTTCGGAGTTTCCCTAGTATATTAAGTTTTGTTTTCTTTTTCTTTCCTTGTTCTTCCCAGCTTATACATAGTTCAATATCAGTTTTGTTGGACTTTGTAAATATATGTAATTTTGTTCCTTATTTTTTTTTTTGGCCGATTTTTTGATAACCAATCTTGTTGTATCATGGTTGATGAGAAATCTCCTTCATGTATGATTTTTTGAGTGATTGATTATGAGTAAAAATGCAATTTTGATGTCTCCTTGGATTAGGCTTCATTTGTATCCAATTTATAGCCCTTGTGTTGTCGGCTATTTTTTACTTACGAAGTGTTTTTATGTTTATGTTATGTTTGATTCAAATATTTTCACATTTTATCGTGATTTTTAATTAAAATTAGAATATCATTTTACATTTGATTTATGGGTAAAACAAATCTAATTTTAACTTAAATTCTTTAGTTTTTTTATAATTTCTAACTGGTAGTTTCTTAATTAAAATATTTAAATTGAAAATATATTGTTAATACTAATTTCATTTGTAACATTCCAAGTTGAGATTTAGACTCGAGATGTAACGACTCCGAAATTTTAAAATGAAATATGTGTATTAAAAAGGTCAAATGCGGAAGCGTAATAAAAATTTGATTAACATCCCTTACACTAAAATTAAAAACGTGTTCAAAGTATAACAGAACAAACTAATTAAAAGAGAAACTTAAAAATAAAAGCTATAAATATAACTACAGAGTCTTCAGGCGTACCCTTCGCCATCTTCCTGCGGAACGGGCTCGGGAACAATGTCTTATTGATCTGAAATGATTAAATAAAGAATGAGTTACACCAGCCCAGTAAAGACATCACACTATCTCACCGTCACGGAAGTAAAGGTGGGTAGAAAACACAAAAAGACCAATGAAGCATAATTTACAACAAATTCTTTTATCAATAATAAAATCCTTTACTATCCACATATCTCGGTGAAATTCATAAAACAATATACGAAAGCAATAACATTATCATCATCATGAAATCATGTGAGCTGTATAACATAATACTTATCACGCCTTTTGCAATTCAATCATTACACAACATATTTTTCCTCATTTACCAGCCTACTAGTATCCATGGGGATCCATAGGGGTCCCGCTACCCGTGAACCCTTAACACTTGTAATCAGATTCCAGGGTCGTCCCCATACCCCGTCCGGTATGGGCGCCAAAACTATAAACCTCAATACCCCGTTCGGCATGAGGGTGAAACGGGCCGTCCCCATACCCCGTCCGGTATGGGTGCCAAAACACATAAGGTCTCCATACCTCGTCCGGTATGAGAGACCACAATCCCGGTAGGGTTCCCTACGGACCCGGTCCGTCCACCATCTCCCAAGATATCTAGTCAGGCTGACCACATTATACAATTATCAATTTACATAACCTTTCATTCCCCTTTTCCTTAGTCAGCATCATCAATTCACACACACAAACAAGCAAACCAGTAATTTATGCCAAACAAGACGACATACAACATCGGGTTCTCAGTCATTCAACCCATAATCAATAAAACAGTAATATATGCACACGAAACTATGAAATGAAAACATCAGACCTCATACTGCATTTAAAACTGTAAAATAGGCCAAACAACAGCTAACCGACAAACACACCAGACCCGGGCTCCATTAGCGACCTTAAACAATTTCACACATCTATTGATTCATGAAATACCGTTTTATCATTTATTAAACTTTAATACCGTGATAGGAAATAGGGTGATGGGTCCTTACTTGTTTCGGGGTCCGAATACGGCTCTACAGTGCGCCTAAAGGCTGTCCCTAATTTTCTCTGAAAATTTTTTCCGGGGAACTGAAACGCACTACTGGTACCTGCACATGTCCCAAAAAATCCTAAATTAGACCCAGGGCCCCTTTCGGCCAATATCGCAATTCCGGGCACGGCGGCTCCGCCGTGCTCCAGCGACAGCGCCGCCGCAAGCGGCGGCGATTCGCCTCGGGTTGGCTGTTTTCGGCCGTTTCAGGCCAAATTCGGCCACACTTGCATTGGTCCCCGTGATAAAACAACCCTAGGGCCCTCGGGGGTCAAAAAAATATGAAAAAATCGAAGCTTACCGGCGGCGGTGCACTCGGGTGCGGTGGCTCTCCGGTGAGATTCATGTTTTGGTGATTTGGCTCCGATCAACCTGTAGAGAAAAGAATGGTGATCACGGTGATATAAAAATTGTATCAAACGGAGGTCGGGAAGGGCCTCATCGGAGGCAAAAATCGAGGAGGGGCGCGGCGGCGCCGCTGGGTTTCGGCCCGTGTTTCCGGCCGTTTGGCCGGGATTTTGGCTCCGATTTGGCCACAGGGGAACTCAGCATTGAAAAATGAGCTGGGGGTATGAAATTTACCTCGATTGGAGGTCGGAAAACTCCCCGGTGCAGCGGCGGGTGGCGGCGGCCGACTCCTCCGGCGTCTGGTTCGTCTTCTCCGGCGAGGGCAGGCGGCTAGGGTTTTTGTGGTCAGGTGTGGGGGTTTTATTTATACCTTTTTGCCTTTTAATCACAACCGTCCATCTTGATTAAATATGGGCCGTTCGTACTTGATTGAATCTGAACCGTCCGTGCGCACGCTTGATCTGGGCCGTCCGTGCGCACGCTTGATATGGGTCATCCGTGCGCGCGGGGACGCATCTGGGCCGTCCGATCGCGCGCACGCGGGATTCGCCACGTGGCTCGTTCCCGGGTCAGCGTGGCCTTACCACGCGGCAAGTCCTGGTTGGCC